GTTTGTTTGTTTGTATTTGTTGTTTGTTTATGTGTTTATTATCAGTAATTAATTTACTTGTGATGTTTCAATAGTAATCATTTCCATTTAAGGATTATGAACCTTTTGTCATAATGACAAAAGCACAGGGACTTAATTTGGCCCATTTTTTGGGCAACTTTAAAAATTTGTAAAAAATCCCGATTTGATCGGAAGTAGCTGAAACTTTCTACGCAACATAAGAACATGCATATGTATCAATAATAATGAGTATTATATTATTAATATAATCAATTGTTTTGTAGAATACACCATGAAAGTTAACCTCTTCAATCGTTTTAACGAAAAGTGTGAGATGAGCAAGAAGGAAGCAGCTGTGTTTAGGAAGAATGGAATGCATGAACAGAAGCAGCTCCCGCCAGTTTTTGAATTTCATGGTGACCCTTCAGTGTATTACATACAAGTAAGAGAGAAGGAGGATGGAGTCCATTTATCAGTCTATTTTTGAGTGTTTGTGGTAAAATTTTATTCTCTCTCTCTCTTTCTATAGATTCAGTTTCAGTTAAAAAATCGTATTTTCGGCCGCAAGGTCTACCAGTCATTCCAAGACATGGAAGCCATTAAAGGAGAGTCTAATAACTTATGGCTACCAATATGTAAACTACCTTCACAATAGCAGCTGGCAGAATATCATTAAATAATAATAATTGCACCAAATCGATCAGTGATCACCATTTTGACTCATCTACTTGGTGTGTCTATAAATTGTATTATATTCTATTCTTACACTCAATGACTTTCAGTATCTTGCAAAATAATTATTATTTATTTTTGTTAAATCTAAATTTACCTTCTGTTCTCTCTCTCTCTGATCTCTTGCAAAGTATTAATTGTAATAACATTATTATGAATATTTATTATTATTATTATTATTATTATATCAAAATTGGAGGCATTATAACAACTGACTGACATTTAAATTATTAATTTTTGAATCTCGCAGGAACTTGCCAGGAAGTAGAATTTCTACTTATATACAATAACAATAAAATTAATATTAATAATGGTAATAGTAATCAGTTTCCAGCTGCTACGTTAGGGGCGCTAGGAGATGATACTATTTGAGGGAGGGATGGACTCGTTGGTTGATACCGACCATAAAGATATATAGCTATGAGGACCAAGGAACAACCAATCACAAAATACGTAGAAATGACGAAAGAGAAAACGAAAACGGACACAACACAAGAAATGATGATAGAGAGAGATGTGGAGAAACCCTTCAGTATATTATCAGCGTATTTCATAACTACCGATACAATGAGGCCACCAAGGGCTTGCTGGAAAACAACAAAAAATACTAAAAAGTTATAGCCGTAAAAAAACCCAAGACTCATAACAGCACCTCCGTCATTCATCAGCATACCAAGGACTGCCGTGAGAGACCCAAATAAACTTAACTGGATGTTACGCATCCACAGTGAAGCCCCGCCTCCTTTGATCATCTTTTCTACATAGACTCCAGCAAAACCTGAGGAAAGACATGATACAATGACGGCAAGTAGACCGACGATTTGACTATTGTTTTCGTTCTCAGATTCATTTGACGAGGCTAGTTTCAGCTGGACGAGAGTAACGCCAATAAAGAGGAGGAACAAGGACCCCCATTGGGTTCTAGTCAGAGTCTTTTGTAGCATTATGACAGAGAAAACAGCTGTTGTTAAAATCTTGAGCTGATAAGTTACCTAATGAAAGAGAGGGAGAGAGTAATGACTATTAGTGCAACTAAAAAATGAAGTTGGAATCAGCTCAAACTTTCTATACAGCGTAAGGACATCAATATGTATCAGAAAATTTAATAAAAATTTGGAGTGATTTCGGAGCCATTTTTTGAAAAAACCATGGGCTACAGCCTTGGGTACTTTTCAAAATTTGGTGCATTTTTTGAAATGGCCATAACTTGAAAAATTGAAGTTGGAATTGACTGAAACTTTCTACACAGCATAAGGACATCAATATGGATCAGAAAATGTAATAAAAATTTGAGGTGATTTCGAAGCTATTTTTGAAAAAACTATGGGCTACAGCCTTGGGTATTTTTCAAAATTTGGCGCATTTTTTGAAATGGCCATAACTTGAAAAATTGAAGTTGGAATTGACTGAAACTTTCTACACAGCATAAGGACATCAATATGTATCAGAAAATGTAATAAAAATTTGAGGTGATTTCGAAGCTATTTTTGAAAAAACCATGGGCTACAGCCTTGGGTATTTTTCAAAATTTGGCGCATTTTTTGAAATGGCCATAACTTGAAAAATTGAAGTTGGAATTGACTGAAACTTTCTACACAGCATAAGGACATCAATATGTATCAGAAAATGTAATAAAAATTTGGGGTGATTTCGGAGCCATTTTTCGGAAAAAACCATGGGCTATAGCCTTGGGTATTTTCAAAATTTGGTGCATTTTTTAAAATGGCCATAACTTGAAAAATTGAAGTCGGAATTGGCTGAAACTTTCTACACAGCATAAGGACATCAATATGTATCAGAAAATGTAATAAAAATTTGGGGTGATTTTGGAGCCATTTTTTGAAAAAACCATGGGCTATAGCCTTGGGTATTTTTCAAAATTTGGCGCAATTTTTAAAATGGCCATAACTTGAAAAATTGAAGTCGGAATTGACTGAAACTTTCTACACAGCATAAGGACATCAATATGTATCAGAAAATGTAATAAAAATTTGGGGTGATTTTGGAGCCATTTTTTGAAAAAACCATGGGCTATAGCCTTGGGTATTTTTCAAAATTTGGTGCATTTTTTAAAATGGCCATAACTTGAAAAATTGAAATCGGAATTGGCTGAAACTTTCTACACAGCATAAGGACATCAATATGTATCAGAAAATGTAATAAAAATTGGGGGGTGATTTCGGAGCTATTTTTTGGAAAAAAACCATGGGCTATAGCCTTGGGTATTTTTCAAAATTTGGCCCGTTTTTTAAAAATGGCCATAACTTGAAAAATTGAAGTCGGAATTGACTGAAACTTTCTACACAGCATAAGGACATCAATATGTATCAGAAAATGTAATAAAAATTTGGGGTGATTTCAGAGCCATTTAAAAAAAACCATGGGCTATAGCCTTGAGTATTTTTCAAAATTTGGTACGTTTTTTAAAATGGCCATAACTTGAAAAATTGAAGTCGGAATTGACTGAAACTTTCTACACAGCATAAGGACATCAATATGTATCAGAAAATGTAATAAAAATTTGGGGTGATTTCGGAGCCAATATTTTTTGAAAAAACCATGGGCTATAGCCTTGGGTATTTTTCAAAATTTGGTGCATTTTTAAAAATGGCCATAACTTGAAAAATTGAAGTCGGAATTGGCTGAAACTTTCTACACAGCATAAGGACATCAATATGTATCAGAAAATGTAATAAAAATTGGGGGGTGATTTCGGAGCCATTTTTTGAAAAAAACCATGGGCTATAGCCTTGGGTATTTTTCAAAATTTGGCGCATTTTTAAAAATGGCCACAACTTGAAAAATTCTTGTCGGAATCAGCTCAAACTTTCTACACAGCATAAGGACATCAATATGTATCAGAAAATGTAATAAAAATTTGGGGTGATTTTGGAGCCATTTTTCGGAAAAAAAACCATGGGCTATAGCCTTGGGTATTTTTCAAAATTTGGTGCATTTTTTAAAATGGCCATAACTTGAAAAATTGAAATCGGAATTGGCTGAAACTTTCTACACAGCATAAGGACATCAATATGTATCAGAAAATGTAATAAAAATTGGGGGGTGATTTCGGAGCTATTTTTTGGAAAAAAACCATGGGCTATAGCCTTGGGTATTTTTCAAAATTTGGCCCGTTTTTTAAAAATGGCCATAACTTGAAAAATTGAAGTCGGAATTGACTGAAACTTTCTACACAGCATAAGGACATCAATATGTATCAGAAAATGTAATAAAAATTTGAGGTGATTTCAGAGCCATTTTTTGAAAAAACCCTGGGCTACAGCCTTGTGTATTTTTCAAAATTTGGCGCATTTTTTGAAATGGCCATAACTTGAAAAATTGAAGTTGGAATTGACTGAAACTTTCTACACAGCATAAGGACACCAATATGTATCAGAAAATGTAATAAAAATTTGGGGTGATTTCAGAGCCATTTAAAAAAAACCATGGGCTATAGCCTTGAGTATTTTTCAAAATTTGGTACGTTTTTTAAAATGGCCATAACTTGAAAAATTGAAGTCGGAATTGACTGAAACTTTCTACACAGCATAAGGACATCAATATGTATCAGAAAATGTAATAAAAATTTGGGGTGATTTCGGAGCCAATATTTTTTGAAAAAACCATGGGCTATAGCCTTGGGTATTTTTCAAAATTTGGTGCATTTTTAAAAATGGCCATAACTTGAAAAATTGAAGTCGGAATTGGCTGAAACTTTCTACACAGCATAAGGACATCAATATGTATCAGAAAATGTAATAAAAATTGGGGGGTGATTTCGGAGCCATTTTTTGAAAAAAACCATGGGCTATAGCCTTGGGTATTTTTCAAAATTTGGTACGTTTTTTAAAATGGCCATAACTTGAAAAATTGAAGTCGGAATTGACTGAAACTTTCTACACAGCATAAGGACATCAATATGTATCAGAAAATGTAATAAAAATTGGGGGGTGATTTCGGAGCCAATATTTTTTGAAAAAACCATGGGCTATAGCCTTGGGTATTTTTCAAAATTTGGCGCATTTTTAAAAATGGCCACAACTTGAAAAATTCTTGTCGGAATCAGCTCAAACTTTCTACACAGCATAAGGACATCAATATGTATCAGAAAATGTAATAAAAATTGGGGGTGATTTTGGAGCCATTTTTCGGAAAAAAAACCATGGGCTATAGCCTTGGGTATTTTTCAAAATTTGGCCCGTTTTTTAAAAATGGCCACAACTTGAAAAATTCTTGTCGGAATCAGCTCAAACTTTCTACACAGCATAAGGACATCAATATGTATTAGAAAATGTAATAAAAATTTGGGGTGATTTCGGAGCCATTTAAAAAAAAAACCATGGGCTATAGCCTTGGGTATTTTTCAAAATTTGGTGCATTTTTTAAAATGGCCATAACTTGAAAAATTGAAGTCGGAATTGGCTGAAACTTTCTACACAGCTAAGGACATCAATATGTATCAAAAAATGTAATAAAAATTGGCGGTGATTTCGGAGCCATTTTTCGGAAAAAAACCATGGGCTATAGCCTTGGGTATTTTTCAAAATTTGGCGCATTTTTTAAAATGGCCATAACTTGAAAAATTGAAGTCGGAATTGACTGAAACTTTCTACACAGCATAAGGACATCAATATGTATCAGAAAATGTAATAAAAATTGTGGGTGATTTTGGAGCCATTTTTTGGAAAAAACCATGGGCTATAAGCCTTGGGTATTTTTCAAAATTTGGCGCATTTTTTAAAATGGCCATAATTTAAAATTTCTTGTCAGAATCAGCTCAAACTTTCTACACAGCAGAAGTACATCAATATGTATGCGTCAAATTAATGATAATTGTACCTGAAATACTGCAGGATCAAGATTTGAGACAGCAATATACTGGAGGTTATTCTGTACCATGTAGACTAGAGCAGGTACAGAGAGCTTCAAAGTGTCCCTCCAATTTACAATGACACTTTGAAAAAGATAAGCAGTGAACTCTATCAGCCCTTTTTTCTCAGATATAAATAATATGACTACACACGTAAAGAGTTTTAGTGTCTCTGATAACACTACTGCAGTGGTGCTGATGTACATCTCACCAACTTGAATACGAGAGTATCTCATAGAGAGGATCAGCAATGCATTCTGTATTGTCAGGATAAATAAACTGGCGTATTTTAGACCTAGGGTAGGAGTGTTAAAAGGAATGTTGCTGCTGTTTTTACTAATAAAGAGAGCTTTATGTTTAAATCGTAGTGAGTATTGTTTTAAAATTTAAAGACAAAATATGTGAATTATTGGAAATTAAATTCAACAATTGGGCATTCGTATCGTTATTCAAGGACATATTCATATTTCAACCTCTTAAAAATGTTTCTATTAACTTTAAAATCTCTGCAATTTTGCATGATAGACACAACCTTAATGGCTTTCATGCTTGGCTGGATTGTAGGTAAACCGATTGCATTAAAAGTATAAATAATTAATTTAAGTTCTGTAAATTATTATTATTAAACTGGTCTTACCCCCAGCCTTTTCTTTATTCATACTGCACTAGGTTTAGGTACTGCAATGCTGGAGCAACACACACAGCATGGGACCAACAAGCGAGGGAACAAGTCTTGTTGAAGTTGTTAAACAAGTTTCGAGACAAAGTTGAGGCGTGGTGACCCAGCCTCCATCCATATAAAAACTCCAGGCCAGACCCTTTGAGACTAGAACTTCAACTTCCAGGGCAGGAAAATCAGCAACTGTAGAAGGTTATGGCAACTAAGGATGATATTGCTCAGCTCAAAAAATCAATACAGGAATTGCGCAGAGGACAATTAGAGATTCTCTTGAAGCTAGATGTATGTTCAGTAATTTTATAGACTGTTTTTGGTGACGGGTAATGGGTTCATGCCATGGTTTCATAATTTTCATTATGAATTAGGACTTGCAAGAAAAGTTGGAAGGAGGAGGAGGAGGAGAAGGGAAGAAACCAGCAGAACCAGAGCCAATTCTTACTTGTGTCCATTGCTCTGCAGAATATGAAGAATCCAAAAATGCAGGTTTGTCTGCGAAAATTAGAAAAAAAGATGCGAATGCAATGTCCTTGTAACTATAGTTGGAAGCTGCTATTATCACAGCGGAATGTTGAGAGGAGTTGGATGGGATTTCAAGTATACCTGCTGTGGAAAGAGCAGCAAGAACTTTGAGTCTGCAAAATTTATAGCAGGATGTGCCAAAGGGAAGCACAGATCTGTTCATCATACAGAGTTTACTTATGCCAACTACATCTTCTACATGCAAGAACAGGTATAAATAAATAAAATAATTTGTGATAGAGTACATTATCAATGATCGTACACCATCAATTTTCGGACACTTGTTTTAGGAAAACTATACATTGCCATCTCATGAAACTGCAAAGTATTATAGCAATAGTTATCCTTTATTTGCGTGACAAAACTTGTAGCTCTAGCAAGAGTGCATAGAAAGTTATAAGCTCTCAAAGCGTGGTGTCCGACAATACCAATGATCGGCCAAAATTCTCAATCTTCGGACTGTCATTTCTGAACGACAGCAAAGGATAGTTTTAGAAGGTCACTATGATAACTTTGTAGGCCTGTCTTTAAACTAACTATCACCATCCGGATCTTTTTGATAGCTGTCTTTTTGACAGAGATAATGGCCACTTAAAATGTGTCACCTGATCCCTCAATATACGGACAAATTTTACAAAAATATACAAAAATTATGAATTTTATTAGTAAAACTCCGTAAAATCATGAGTTTTGTATATTT